GTCTCCTGAAGGAAAAGATGCTTGTGAAGACTTTGGATCAGAGCTGAGTAAGGGTGCCGGGGCTGGGTGAGAGCAGAAACAGAGCTGTACTTCATTAAAGCATGCCAAGGCTAAGTGGGGCATGATGGCACACACCTGCAATCCCAGCTTTCAGGAGGCTGAGACAGGAGGAGCAGAAGTTCAAAACTTGCCTGGGCTAGAACCCTGTCTCCAAAAAAATAAATAAATAAAAGGATAAAGAAAAATACCCCACTAAGACTGTAAATGCCATCAGTCCAACATGAACTGTACAAGAAAAATTAAAAATATTTTTAGTTTTCAAATGTTCAGTATTGTCTGAACTGGCTAATTTACTAAGAAAGAATATTAGTCATATGAATGAGTATGACCGGACATCATCAGGCCTGGGAAAGAAACCCCAAGGCATAGACCTGCTGGCCAGCTAGGGCCAACTATCACTGAAGAACACAGTTCTGGGTTTGGGACGTCAGCCTCCTGTGGCTTAACTGTGAAGATGATTGTGTTGGTGGGCCCAGGGTTTTCCAACAAAAACCAGGTCTGGTCAGCACTCTCCCTTGGCTTTACTGAAGGCTGCTCGCTCATAAAACCTTTTGCATGTGAGGAAGGTAATCCCAGCACTTGGGAGGCTGAGGCAGGAGAAGTGTGGGTTTGGGACCAGCCTGGGTTACACAGGGAGACCCTGTCTCAAAACACCAAAAAAAAAAAAAAGCAACTTCGGGGGTTGCTTCCAGGATCCAGGATCTTCTGGTCTCTGGTCATTGAGAGTACCTGGCCATTCCAGTACAGCCAGCTTCACCCTGCACCCACACACCCCAGCCAGCACACCTGTAGGCGTCTAAGTGAGCCGAACTGGTTTCTACAACTTTCAAACTCCAAGATGACCACGTACAATGAACTCCAGAAACGCAAGGATGGAGCAACATCACAAGAGGCAATACACCAGGGCATTTCGATTATTCCTCCAGATGCTGAAGAAGGTGTGACCAAAACCCAACACCTGGGACCTGTGCTTCTGGGAGGGTGAAGTGGAGAGATTTTCCCCGCTCCTCCCCTTAGAGAATCAGCCTCCCAATGGTGATACAAAACAAAAGCAGGAAGAATGAAAGGTGGAAAGAAGGCAGGCTGGCCAGGGGCCCACAGTGGCGAGTTCTGAGGTCTTCTTTCTGCATCATGCAGCCCAGCCCAGCTGCCAGCAGAGCTTCAGCTCAGTAATGCCAGGAGGCACCAACAAAAAAGCCCATCAAAATTCTGCCTACTCCAGAGAACCAGAAAGGGGCAGCCTACAAAGATGGAAAAGTGTTAGATCCGAGCTGCTCCGTTCCAGGCAGACACGCAACACACCACAACCTACCCCTATCCACACCAGCAAAAGCTGAGTGGGGCCAGGCCTTAGCCCTCTGCTGGGTGGCCTCAGAGAAGTTTGAGGGGTTAGTAGAGACTCCACAGGAACTTGGACTTCCACTCCCACCTGGCTTTAGGGTGTCCCTCCACCCCAGGAGGGCAGTGTCACCAGCAGCCTGTGAAAAGCCAGGACTTTCATCATTGCCAGTGCATATGTATGTGGAGGTCACTCCTGCACCCCTGCCATGGTGATGGGGGCCCTGAGGGGAGCAGTCACACATCTCTCAGGCAAGAGGAATGGGTGGAGATCTAGCTGGAACCCTTGCCCACCAGTAATGAGGAGCCCCACCCTTGGGGGTCAGTAGTGACTAAGCAGGAACCTGGACATCTATACCTACTTGGCAGGAGCATAGCAGTGGCCCCTCCTGCCCTGCCAGGGTGACATCAGTGGGAGTCAGAGCCCCGTGACATAATGCTAGATTTTGATAAAATATCACTCAGCATTCCAAAACCCAGGGTGATCTCAAACTGAATTAAAAAAAAAAAAAAGACACAAGGCATCAGTGGCTCACACCTGTAATCCTAGCTACTTGGGAGGCTGAGACCAGGAGGGCTGCGGTTCAAGTCCAGCCTGGGCAAATAGTTACTGAAACCCCCATCTCCAAAACAAGCAGAGCAAAATGAACTAGAGGTGTGGCTCAAGTAGTAGAGTGCCTGTTTTACAATCACAAAGCCCTGAGTTCAAACCCCAACCCCGCAAAAAAAGACAATCATTAATACCAAAGCTGAGTTTGCTAGGTTTGACACAGATTTTAATAGCCATTGTGGAAATGCTTCAACAAGCAATTATGAGCCTGCTTGAGACAAATAATGAAAACAGTCTCAGCTGAGAAATAGAGTACACAAAGAACAAATGGAAGTTTTATAACGAAAAAACATAGAAAACTGAATTTAAAATCTCAATGGATGGGTTCCATAGCAGAATGGAGGGTACAGAGTAAAGAATCAGTGAACTTATGGACAGAACAATAGAAGTTACCCAATTTGAACAACGGAGAGCAAACGGACTAAAGAAGCTGTGCAGAGAGTCACAGGCCACAGGCCTGTGGGCGTTCGTGTCATCAGGGTCCCATGAGAGGACAAACAGCGGACCTCATAGGAGTAATGGCTAACACCACCTACGGGTTCAAGATGCTGAATAAACCGCAAAGAAATCCACGATGAGGATTAAACTTCCGAAAACTAAAGCAACAGAGGTAAATTACACCACACTTACTAAAGAAAAATTTCTCCCCAGAAACCATTTAGGGGGAACGGAGCAGTGACCCAAACAATGTACACACATGTGAGTAAATGTCAAAGTGACAAAAAAAAAATAGAGGACAGAGGAAGTTGCACATTAATTTTTCAGGTATTGAAAGAAAAGAAGTCAACCCCAGATCTTAGGTATGTTTCAGGACAGAAAGCCAAATAAAAATAATCTTAGATGAATGAAAATTAAGAATTTGTTATCTTAGCGATAAGGGCAAAATAGTATCTGCTTGGAATCGAGGGGGTGGGGGTGAGAGGAAGGGGGTGGGGGAAAGAGGAGGAGGCGGGGGCAGGGGAAGTGGGGAGTAATGACCCAATCATTGTATGCACATATGAATAAAGGAAATTAAAAAAAAAGAATTTGTTATCAGCAGATCCACCCTAAAATAACGGTTATGAGTTCTTTAATGTTTTATTTATTTATTTATTTATTTTTGGTAGGTCTGGGGTTTGAATTCAGACTTTTCTTCTTTTCGGGATGATTATCAGGGATTTTGTTATAGTAACAGAAAGCTGACTCACACACATTAACACTCAAGCAGCAACTTAGAGAGACACACTACAGTTACATAAACATTACAAATAAATCAAAACAGAATTCTGAGAAAAGGTTGAGTAACCCAGAGGAAGGTAAGAAAAGGAAAATAGAAACAACAACAAAAAAATAGAACAAATGAAACAAATAATGTCAGACTTAAATCCTAACAAAATACTTATATGGAAGTGGAATATACACCAATTAATAGAGAGAGCATTGCAATAGGTTTAAAAAAAAATAGAACCCAACTATACACTACCTACAAGAAGCTCACTGCAGATATGACATCGATGGGTTGAAAGTAAAAGGATGAAAATGTATGTAATCCAAATGCCAGCCAAAGGAAAGCAGGATTTTCGTATCAGAAACATGCATGATAATTAAAAGTCATCTACCAAGAAGGCCTCGCAATTAGAAGCTTGCATATACCAAACAACAGAGCCACAGACCATGCGACACAAAAGCCAACAGAAGAGAAAGGAGAAAAGGACAACCTCCCAGTTTAGTTAGCAATCTGAACCCCTCAACAACTGGTAGAATGGCTAGACAGAGGCTGGCAAACGTACAGGAGAACTCGATGACACCTCCAGCCAGAAGGAGCTAATCAGCTTCGCACTTCTCAGATGTCCACAGAACTCACAGCAAGACAGACAATATCTTGGGCCAAAAACCAATTCTCATTCAATTTAAACTGAAATCAAGCCTGGGTGTGGTGGTGTACACCTGTAATCACAGTACTGAGGATGCTGATGCAGGAGCAAAATAAGTTTGAAACCTGCCTGGGGGTACAATAGCAAGACCCTGTCTCAAAAAAATCAAAACAAAACAAAAACAAACAAACCCACCCCAAGGGCTGGAGGTGTGGCTCAAGTGGTAGATAGAGCACTTGCCTAGCAAGGCACAGGGCCCTGAGTTCAAGTCCCAGGAAAAACGTACTATTATCTATTGAGGAAATGAAATTTATAATTTAAAAACTTCTAAAAATTTCCTGCTGTGGGTTTATGACTGTGGTTAGCAGTGTCTAACATGTGCAAGGCTCTGGGTTCAGTCCCCGCTTCAAGGAAAACAAAATTTAAAAGGATTGAAAAAGCAAACCCTGGGCTGGAGTTGTGGCTCAAGTGGTAGAGCGCCTGCCTAGCAAGTGTGAGGCCCTGAGTTCAAACTCCAGTACTGCCCCCCCAAAAAACCCCAAAACAACAGCAACAACAACAACAAAACCCTGAAATTGAATAAGAACAAACACAAATAGGCCTATCAAAAGAAGTGATCTGAGTGACCTTTGAGTATGATCTGAAAACAGAACTCCAGCTTCTCCCTCAGCCAGGCCCTGGAAAGCCCCCTGGAAGGCACAGACTTTCTGAGGGACACAGGTTGGGAACCCCCACCTAGGCAGTCTGTCTCAGGTGGAGGAAGAGCCAGGACGGGTGCGTCAGGAACTTCTGAAGTGCTAATGTGGGTGTCTGCAGGCCTCCTTGTGGGAGAGGACACACCCGCACACATGTCACAGCAGGTCTCTGCCAGGGGCAGAGGGGATCTGTGAAGTGACTGACTTTGCCAGTCTGGAGCAGAAGTGATGGCCAGTGGTCCACTCAGCCCAGCTGCCTCTGAATCCATACTTGCTGAGGTCTTCACAGAGAAACCCCAGCCCCTCTTTGGGCCTTAGGGGGAGATGCCCCAGACTCAACCTGGAAGCCAGTGGCCCTGACTTCTTTGCTGGCTGTTGCCCATGGACCCCAGAGGACACAGCGCAGCTGGTCCAGGCCCTAGCCGCTCCTGCCCAGTACATCACCTCCTCCCTCCTCTGGCTGGCCTTCTTCTCCTTCTCCTGGATGAGGTTCTGGCGGGCCAGGATGGCCTCCTCATGGCTCAGCTTCCCCCGCAGCCTCCGGCACTCGCTTGCAGCCACCTGCTCCTCCCGGTCCTTTGCCTGCATCTTCTTCTGCCACTCAAAGAACTCAGAGACGTCCCCAGCCCCATCCATAAGCTTATCGACTCTGGGGAAAGGGGGACAGAGGCGCAGCTTGGAGTTCCAGTATCGCCTCTGCTTCCATTTCAGCAGATGGCTGGAAGGACGAGATACTTGTGAGCTGAGATACCCCAGCTTTTGGAACTGACAAGACCCAGCGGAAGCCTGCAAGCCTAAGAGGCCCTGCCCTGGGAGGCACCTTCACCTGAAATGACACGGGCTGGGCTATTAGTGGCAGAATGGGAGCCTAGTAAGGTCGAAGCACCTTTTGAGTTGTAAATCCTTTGTTTGTAAGGGAACAGTGTTCAAAGGCAGGAAGTGGACTGTGATACCACAGTATATTTGGTCTCCATCCCTGTTGACTGCCAGCTGTCCACCCTACTTCCACCCTAGGTAGCTTCAGGATTAGACTGGTCACCAGAAAGGGCAAGGCAGAATCAGAGGTCTGGGACTTTCAGCCCTATCCCTCAATCTTTGGAGAGGGAGAGAATTACACCATGGCCAGTGGTGTAATCAGTCATGCCTGTAATGAAGCTTCCACAGAAACCAAAGGAACAGGGTTCAGGAGAGCATCTAGACAGCTCAGCAGGTGCGGGATCTTGGAGGGTGGTGTACCTTGGAGGGAGGCTCCAACCCCTCTCCCTACACATCTCTTCATTTGTATCCTTCACAATACCATTTATAACAAACTGGTGAAAGTGGTAAGTGTGTCCTGCGTTCTGTGAGCTGCTCTAGCAAAAACCTGGCAGAACAGGTCACGGAGACCCTGCTGTCTAGCTGACTGGTCAGACGCACAGGTGCAGCTGGCACCTAGGGGCAGATCTTCAGGACAGAGCCCTCAACCTGTGGGATTTGAGGCTGCCTCAGGTGGATGGTGTCAGAACAGGGCTGAATTAGAGGATGGCAGGTGCCGACCCTCCCTGCACATCGCGTGCTTGCTGTGGGGAAATGCCCCTCACCTGGTGTCAGAGGTGTTGTTCTTCTGTAAGAATACGGAAGAAATTGAGATTGCCTTTTCTCTCAGCATCTTGGATGTATGCCCCACCCCGCACTGAGCCGCCCAGGCACCAGGCCCCTCCTGGCTTGCTCCCTTTATCAGGAGTGACACTGGTAGAAGGCGGGTGGGCCAGGAGGGCAGCCGCAGTGCTCTCCCCACCCCTCACCTCTGCAGCTCTTTCTCCACCTGCCGCTGGTATAAAGCCCCTTCTCGAAGAATGGTGGCCGTGTTCAGCTTGACAGGGAGGTTGTCAGGCTGTGGGAGGGGAAGGTTCACTGCAGAGGGCTCAAGAGCAAGTGAGCCCATCTTACCCTCTCCACTTGCCTCTGCCTCTAGAGTGTGGCAGGTTCCCCAAATCCTGCCCTCCAAAGGTGGAACAGATGGGAGGCGTGGGTGCCAGTGAGAGGCCTGATGGTCAGGAGCCCCTCACCTTGTAGAAGGTCAGCTTTGGAGTCCTTTGGATGCGAGGCGGAGATGGAAGCTGCTGTTGCTTCTTGGAGTCCTGTGGAAGTCGGGCAGAGAAAGCCTGGCAGTTGTGCCTGCTCAGTGCCTCCAGGGCTGACTCAGCACCCTGGAAAGCCCACCTGCTCCTCCTCCATCCTAACCCTCCCCGCCCATCCATGTGTTCCTACCCAGACCCCCAGGTCAGCATCCCTGCCCTCTAATGTCCTCCTAAGCCTTGTAGGGTATTGGACTGCCTGGGCATGAGTAAGAACAGTGCAGGGCCCGGGACCTTTAGAATCTGTGTCCTCCTTAGTCATTCCTCATGGATGGGGTCTTACTGGCCCCATGCCCTCTCCTGGGCTGCTCTCCAAGTCTCTGCCCCAGACCTTACCTCCTGCTGCTCACTGACTCACCTTGGGTGGAGGGCATTTCAAACCACAGTTGCCAAGGAATAGCAGGTTAAAGGCATCAGTAGTACCCCTGGGTGTGCAGCTGTGCGGGGTCCCCAGGCCTGCCCAGTTACCGAGGAAGGACCAGCTCTGTGGACCCCTACTGCCCAGGTGGGCCATGCCTTCCTTGGCCTGCTCCCTTAACTTCTTCTTAGTGGCTCACAGCCCTTGGTTTGTCTTTTTGTTTTTTTTTTTTTTCTTTTTCATAATACTGGGGTTTGAACTCAGTGCCTTGTGCTTGCTAGGCAGGTACTCTTCCCTTGAGCCATTCCACCAGCTGTCTTTTTGTATAAAAGTATGAAATGCTTAGTGTGGGCATCTGGAAACCCCAGAGATGGTGGCTGTGGGAGCCTTCCCAGGGGTGCTTCCTCCCGGTGCCTTTGGATGTGTCTCTGCCTGCCTGTGGGAGGCAGATGCACTCTGCCTGGCTCCAGGATCACTCCCAGAGTCACCAGAATTCCACTCAGGAGGGGAAAAGGCTAAATAAGTGACTTATTATTGTGTCACTACTGAAATGTCTCTGGGAGGAACACTTTTTTTGTGTGTGCATGGTACTGGGGTTTGAACTCAGTGTTTCACACTTGCTAGGCAAGTGCTCTACCACTTGAGTCACTCTGCCAGCCCTCAGGAACACTTTTATGACATGAGAAAATGCTGCCATGAAGACTGGGAGGCTGGGCGTTACCTGTACCAGCGGCTCCCTGTGGGACCTGGGCATGGCGCACCGCATCTCCTCCATGTTCGCCTTCAGCAGCAACTCCTGCCAGGACACCACACGGCTACTGCCTCACTGACTGCCACCCACTGCCCTTGGCTTATGGGGGTGTGCACATGCTCAGCCCACCGCCCCATCCTCCTCCTCCGTGCCCCATCCTTCTCCTCTCTCCTCCTCCTCCCTTAACAGGTCCCTAGGGAAGCCACCTCTGCCTTCCGGCGGTTGTATCTCTTGATCATCTGCAGCTGCTTCTGCTCCCTGGGCTCCTGGTAGGTGCTCTGAGGGACCTAGTAGGGTGGTGTGAGAGCCAGCTGTGGTCAGAAGCCAGAGTTTGGAGGGTCAGGCCAGCAGTTGGCATGGGGTCTAGAGTTGAGTATGGGGTGGGATGGGCAGAGGGAGATATGACTGAGGGCATGTCACCAGCCCAGATGTGATAGCCAGGTTAGGCGAAGAGCAAGGGGAGGCAGCCAGCACCCCAGACTGCAGGGACAAGCAGAGGACCACTTGGCACCAGGGCCCTTCTCATGAGGCCTTTCCTAGCCACACTACCCAGAATCACAACCACTCCAACACTTTTTATCCCCGTTTCCTGCATTACCGTTTTTCCTCAGCATTTCTCATTAACTTACACACCATCCATTTTACTTATCCTTTTTTTCTTACTTGAGTTCCCACTGGAAACATGCTCTGTAAAGGCATAATGCCTGGCAGAGAATGAGCAAGTGAGTGAATTGGAGTGGGCCTCAGCCCAGGAGGGAACAGAAAGTCTGGACATGGAATAGGGCAGGGAGGGTAAAAGATCTAAGCCTGTGGTTTCATCAGGCATCTGTGGACCTCAGGGAAAGTGAACATTCACCAACATCTCACAGTGAGGGGTCATGAGGGACTGTGCCAGGCAGAGTAAGAGAGAAGGAGAGGCAGCTGGTGGAATGACTTGAGAAAAACAAACAGGGTCAGAAATGCTGAAATTCTGCACATAAGGGTAACTGTGCAGGGGGATTCGTTCTGGTTTTTGGTGGGATTTGGGGACCTGTTGTCTATCCACACACCACTCCCCCTATCCCATTGCATAGTCATCCCACCCACACTATCCATTCCTGTTCATCTACCCACCTATCCATGTCACGCCACCCACGGCTATCCACTGACCGTCCTGGTTGAGTCCGGTGCGAGCGTGTAAATTGGGATTGGACGATTTACCTTGTTTGCGGTGGAAGTGTGGTGACGGATTACGGAATCATCGCGAGAGTAGGAGATATCGAGGATCGTCGATAGCCCGCGTTGCACGTTCCGGCGCGGCGTGAGGTACATCGGGTATTCTGGGTGGGCTTGGGCTGCTGACCGTGAGGTTGGTGTGTCGGGTTCCGGGTGTGTTGCTGTCGACCGGCAGAGCGTATTAGAGAAGGGATGGAAAGGTGTAAGAGTAGCGAGTGTACGTGGTCGGTAAGAGGTTCACTGTACAACTGGCAACGCGGCTAGTGCGATTTGGTGACAGCTGGGTGGGGGTTTGCTGAATGTCACTCCACACAGTCTATCCATCCAACCCCATCCATGTCATTCCATTCCACTATACCCATCCAACCCACCCAACCCCGCCACCCCAATCCATCCCACCCACCTATCCACCAATATCCCAGATCCATCCATCCTTCCACCCACTCATCTATCCACCCATCCATCTACATATCCATCTATCCATCCATCCATACACCCATCCATCTACTCATCCACCCATCCATGCACCCCTCCATCTCTACCCATCTATTCATCCATTCATCCATCCATCCATCCACCTATCTATCCACCCATCCATATACCCATCCATCTATTCATCCACCCATCTATCTATCCATCTCCACCTATCTATCCATCCACCCATTTAGTTCATGCTTATCAACCATCCACTATTATCCACAGGACAACTCCAACCACGCCATTTATCAACCATCCAACCCACATACCACCTTACCACACCTCCATTACACCAATTCCCATCCCAGCCATTCAATCCTGGCTCATTATCCATCCATCCATCCATCTTCCACCCACCCCTCCATTCCGGTCCTTCCAGACAACGGGTTTACTGAAGGGGCCTCCTGGTCAGGAGTAATTGGAATAGTGGAGAGGAGAGAGAGTGACTGGAGGAGGGTTGCTAAGAGAGACAGACCAATATGAGGGCCGAACATACTAAAGCAGATATGACATTACTCCACCAGCATTACTAATCAATACTCTGAAGAAAAGGAGCTGGGGTTAATGAGAAGGAAACCAAATGAGGGACCCAGAAGAGCTGAAGGTTCCTGATAAGTTTATGGGCTGAGAGGATGGTGGAATTGGGGTGGGACCTGGGACCTCCAGCATCATCCTTCACCCTCCCATATAATCCCTGGTCTTGTGAGGAACAGCATTTGGCCTGGAAGACTGAGTCCTAGCTGCCCAGGTCTTGAGCCGATGGGACCAGGTCGGGATATTTGCATCCCTGATTGATGTCCATGCATTCAAGCCATCGGTGAGACCTGAGCTGAAATCGAATCAGGAGTTTTTCAAAAGAATTTCTCTGGTCTTAAAGCGATTTGTTTTGCTCAGTGCCTCTGGATGGCAAGAGGTTAAGTGTGAGGCCCAGATTTTTTATACTACAGTGAAGAAGGTAGCCCAAAGATGAAGTTGACTTGTAGAGATTAGGGTAGAGAGAATCACAGAGAAACAGAGCTGGAACCCTGATGAAACAATGCCTGAAGTCTTCCCTGCTTCAATCACGCTAGCCAGTGGTTTAAGCCAGTTAGAGCACATTTTTCAGTTACTTGCAGTACAGAGTATCCTGACTGATAAGTCAGCAAGGCAAAGGGAGGTGGAGAGGTTCTCAACAGATGGGACAGATGTGCAAAGACCCTGAGGGGGGAACAGGCATGACTGGAGCTCACACAGATAGATGCCATCCCTGCGCACGTCTGAAGAGCTCATGAACTGTGATCTGCTCATGTCATATCTAATGGACAGGGGTGGCATATAATTGGACTCTAGGTTCTAAACACAGACAAGTCTGAGCCTGTGAACTGACAGCTTCTTTCAGTGCTTACCGACAGGACCCAGAATGTGGTGGGCTTTTCATCACCACCTCCCCTCTCCTTGGGAGCGGGGGTCAGGGATAGGCTATTGAATGCTCCTGAGCTGGTCCAGTGTGCCATTGGCCCTGGAGGAACCCAGCCCCCATGCCTCCACTGCCCACTGTCCTGGTCTGGACATCCTGGTGGTGCAAGCCTCGGCCTGGCAAACACCTAACTCACTGGTCTTGGCTTGGCCATAGTAGGGACAGGCTCGGGCATCAGAATGGCGCGGGGCGTGGGGACAGTCAGGTTGAACTCCTTGGGCTCTGTGACCTTCGTCTTGGTCTTGAGGATAGGAGTTTGACTGGTCGACACTCCCTCTAGTTGGTTGACCAGCTCCTGGACCTCCGGCTGCCATCTTAAAGGAAAAGTAAAGGCCCTTGGAATCACTAAGGGGATGATCCTTCGGAGCTGAAGGATCCCTAAGAGCTTGGGTCTCCTTGACACTGAGGTTCTGATAGTCAGACGGCCTCTCTTCACTGGTGACCAGTTGCAGGCGTGGTCCAAACACATCAGCACAGGCATCAGGAACCCAGTGGCACAGATGAGGAAACAGAGACCCTGGGGAGGGGGAGCTGGGAGGCTGGGACATTTCCCCTGCAGGAATGTGGGGCTCCCTGAGGACAAGCAGCGGTAGGGGCATGCAGCTAATCTGGGCAGAGCAGATGGCACCGATGGAGGAAGCAGGCAGCAGATAGAGGAGGCTGGTGACAGGACAGGAATGTTCCGGAACTGCACTATTGGCGACAGGTGGAGGAAGCTGTGGGGGTCGGATGGGGTGAGGGCCACCTACCCCTGCAGGGAGCCCAACTGTCCTTGGGCACAGCCTGGGGTGGAGGGCTCTGGAGCAGGAGTTTGGGAAGGGCCTTGCTGGGTTGCCCCAAGGTCTGGGGCTCCCATTTCCACCCTCCCCACACCCCATGTGAGCCCAGCCTCCCATCACCAGCCTGTTGTGTCCACTCCTGTGGGGCAGGTGTGTGGCTTGAAATAGTTCCTGCAAAACCTAGAGAACCAGGACCACCCAGAGGAAGGGAAGCTGGAGTGAAGGCAACTGCAGAGGGCTCTCAGGTGGTCACTGCAGAGCTGGGCCAGGGCCTTTGTCTTTCAGGCAGGTGGAGTTGTGATGGGTCTGCTCCCAGAATGAGCTGGGAAAGCCCACAGCAGGTGGGGAAAATGCCACAGGGCTGTCACCTAGTTGCCTTGGAGGCACTTCCTGATTGCCAGATCAGAGACCAGTTGGGATAAATGACCTCCCCTTGGCAAAGAAGCAGTTCCAGGGACACCTCCCCCACTGTTCCAACACACACGGGGCCAGGGCCTCCACACACAGCACATAAGTGGACTTCTTGTGCCAAAGCAGCCCATCTGTCTGTCCCCAGGAAGACACAGTGACCCCCCCCCCCATATTCTCAAAGAGAGACAACTGAGATCCCTGACTGTATCCCAGAGTGTGTCCTGCTATGGGCTATGATCCAAGCTACAGAGTGGGGCCTCTCTGAACTTGGCACGTGACATGGAGCATGTCTGCCCTCTCAGAGTTCCTGTGCACAGGAAGGGAACAGGAGACCCCCTGCCCATTGAGGTGCCTGCAGTGAAGACAGGCAATGTCCCACCCTAGCCCACCCTACCTCATTAGGGGGTCGATCCAGTTCTCCTTCACGTGGGCTGTCTCGTAGACGAGGCTCCACTCATCCTTGATCCACGAATACAGGTTTAAGGGGTTAAAGAAGAATCTGAGGAACTAAAGGAATGAGAGCCATGAGGGGCCCTTGCCCACTGACACCCCCAGCACCCCTTGCGGGGCATCAGAGTAGAGTATGACATTCAATAAGGGTCACAGCCCTGCAGCTGGCTGAAGAGACCACACCCCTCAGGACAGCCCTCTTCCCTGTAGGGTCTCTGATGGGTCAGGAGCTGGACCCAAGCCCACCTGCTCCAGTCCAGCAGGGCATGCCCTTTGCCCGAGGAGACTCTGTGCTCCCAGCCAGCTTCCAGGGCCTGGAAAGCCCCACATCTCACTCCTGGGCAAGTTGATGGTGGGGGACACATAGAAAGCTGCCAGCCTCCCAAACCTTCCCCCAGTGAGCTCTGGAATTCTGGGAATGAAACTGTCATTTTCTCCAATCTCTACTCTGCTGCCATGCTGGCAGGGGGTGAGCCAGGGAAGTCCCCAACTGTGGCAGGGAGCCAGGGAGACCTTGCCTACCCTGGGGAGGTGGTCTGTCACCCAGCCCTTTGCAGTGGGTGGCTGGTCCCAGCTTTGGGATCAAGGCTGCTTTCTCTGGCCAGGGCCTGGCATGATGCCCAGGTGGGCAGCCCCACAGTGCCCTTGGAATCCTGGAGCTGGTCCTGGTGAGAATTCCAGGGCTGTGGGTGTCGGCAGGCTGTGTTCCAGCTCCTGTGCCCATGTCTCACAGCTCTGGCTCAGGCAGGCACAGGCCTAGCTTAGCTCCCCAGGGGAAGGCTAGTGCCTTAGGGAGCTGGAAGGCACCCTTACCTGCCCAGGTTACCCAGGGCAGGCCTGTCAGCTGGCCAGGAGGGGCTCAGTCTTAGAGGTGGCCCTCTACATACCTGGGACAAAGGCTCAGACCTTAGCCGTTGCCTGAGGGGCAGCCAAGCCTGGGGCCCCCTGGGAGCAGTCTGTGGAGGTGTCCAAGAAGCTGAAAGGGATGGGGTGACCCCATCCTTGAGGGCCCTGTCCAGTTGAAGGGATCATAGAACTCCCTAAATGAGTCAGAAGGGTGACCAAGGGCCCTGGGGCCCACAGATGCTATCATATGTGGGACCCCAGCACCATGTGAGTCCAGGAATGATTCATGGTGACATAGGACACGCAGTACCTGGTCTGGATCCCCCAAACTTCAGCCTGGACCTCAGGAAGCATATTTGGGAGGAAGCCCTAGAAGTGCAAGGCCAGCCAAGGAAACAGCAGTGGGCAAGGCTATGCCAGGACAGGGCCTCTGGTCATTGCTGCCTCTCCAGGGCACTACCACCCTGAGCAGCCTCATCCTCACCAGCCTCCTACCTCCTCTTGGCCTCCATGCTCTCTTCACAAAGGAGTAACCAGGACCCTTTCTAGAGCCTTCCACAGCAACCCACTTGGCACCTGCCTCCTCTTCCCTCCCTTCCTGCCCTTGCCTGGGGCCACTGCCTCATCAACCTCTTTCCTATCCCCTCCCATCTGTCAGTCTTACTAGTCCTTTCTGCAGACTGTGGCTGGACACTGGAGTCTCCACCTCCTTCCTACTGGCCCACCCCAACTTGGGCACATCTCATTCAGGCTTACCACCCCACCGGACCCCCATCCCCACCCACATCCTCACACCTGCACCTCAGCTGGGCTGCAGTTCTCATTTCCCCACCCCAAGGCCACCCTAAAGGAGCCATGATTTTCACTGGGGTGTGGTGGGGACAGCCCTGCCTGGGGCCCTGCTGGAGTGGGAGTGGGGCTCTGGGTGGGTCTGCCCACTTGGAAAATTCCATCAGACATGAGTGTGGGGGTCCTGGGAGCCTCTTGCCCCCGCCACCTGCTGTCCAGGGCCACTCGTTCCAGAATGATGGGCAGCGTCTCCTGTGGAGGCCTGAGTGGCAGCATGGGCACGAGGTGCTTGTTGTGATGTTATTCCTGACCACAGCAGCGACAATGCCCAAAAGACGACCTTGTCCACAACATCTCACTCCCAGTTTCAAGGTCCAGCTGGCCTTAAGGCAGGTTGTAGGACTCTAAAGCGACCGGCATTACCCAGTGGGTGTGGGGCTCGGGACAGATCTCTGGGTTGGTCAGTGCCTGAAACCGGCCTGGGGGCTGGGTGTAATGTGCAGTCAGCACCCTGAGCATCTAGTGAGCCCATACTGTGGCCTGGGGCAAGAGGAAGGGTGGGTCTTGGCTCAACAGTTGTTAGAATTTCAGTGTAGTTGCCAGCAAAGCATGAAACCAGTATGGGTCCTTCTGAGCTCTGGAAACGGGCCCTAGATTCAGTCTCAAAGTTTCTCAGAAAATAGCAGCAGTTTTGCATCTTTTTCATATAAAGGGAGCCCTTGTGTAAGGTAACTGTAAAGGCTGCAAGAGTGACTCAAGGATTACTGTGCCTGCCTAGCAAGTGTGAAGTTTGAACCCCAGTACCGCCAAAAAAAGACAACTCTAAATGTTCATCCATTACAAAGTGCTTATGTGTGGATGCAGCTAGGAAAACAGGTCCTTCACAAACCAAATGCTGGCTTGGCTCAGTGCGTGTTCTCTCCTTTCACCTGTTAGGTGGGCGACGTAGCATGTGAGCTCTGTGTCCTAGCTCTCTGGGTGGCTGTGACCTAGGTATGCGCTGCTTCCCCAGCCCCGCTCAGAGCTGGCTGCTCCCAGATAGACAGGCCTGAAAGTGCTCTTGGTCCTGAGTTCTTTCCCTGCCTCTTCTTCAGGAAGTCACTTTCTTGGGCTATTCTGAGTAAGAAGAACCAGCCTGTGACCAAAGGCAGTCCAAGAGTCAGCTTGCTATTCACTTGCTGTGTGACATTGGGTGACCCCATTTCCTCAAGGGAGGGGTGAGTTGTGCAGGTACAACCTCGCCAGGCTGGGTCCTTGGGAGGGGGGTGGAGGAAGCCTGCCCACAGTGGACTCTTGCTGGACGGGAGCCTGTCTACAAGGGCACAGTGGCCCCAGCCAGTTGTTATACTGGCTGGCACAGAGGCCCAGCTGACCACAGACAGTGACTTGCAAGTAACAATAGGAAGCTACCACCCATGGGGACATCAGGAGCCAGAATCACACTTCCCACACAAAGGCACGTTCTCCCAGATAGAGACGCCAGCCGCTCTCAACACGGAATGAACCTGCCAGAGGCTCTCTGAACCTCTGAGGGTGAAGGGCAGGCAATTAACCAGACACACCTCTGCCCTGGTTTCCCTGCCTCCCTCGGCTGGTGGCCGGGCGATGGCCCCTCCAGGTGGGAGGCCAGGTGGGGCTCACCTTGCACATCTTGTCCACGGGCTGGGACTTGACAATGCTACAGAAGAGCTGGAAGCCGAGCTTGTCCAGTTGGAACATGGCCAGGTAGCAGATCACTATGGACACAGGGCAGTGTGAGCGGCGCCCGTCCCGCAGAGGGGCCCTGGCAGGGCAGCAGGTCAGGCAAAAACTCCCACGTGGGACCCACTTGGAAACGATGGTCTCCCACAGATAGGGCAAGCACCATGGTCTTAGACCCAGAGCAGCTGTGGGTTTTGCATCCCATATATCTAGAAACTGATCATTTGATCAGTTTTCAGAAACCCAAGGGTTCCCTGGGTGAAGGTGAAATCATTTTTGAGCTTAGTTTGTTATTGCTGAAAGTGCTGAGAGGTTGGATCGCCTCAATCCCCGGGGCATGAAGCTTTCTTTATTTCTCTGAAGGGACTGTGGATTACACCTCTGATCCTGAGCTGGGAGGCAGGGGTGAGCCCAGCTTTGGGCCTGGCATCGGCCAGCTGGCTTAGCCCCCCAGTGCCCAGCAGCCCTCACCCCACCCTCTACCTAGGGGACCAGGCAGCAAGGCCAAGTTCAGGTCCCAGGGCTACATACCCCCAACCAGCCACCCTCACCCATGACAGCACCAGCCACTCCATCCACAATGGCCAGACAATAGTCAAAGGCCTGACCTATCCAGGTGCCAACGGCAGGCCATGGCAGAGTCAGCCTACAGAAGGTCTCAGAGGCATTCTCTCTCTGCCAGGCTGGGAGCAGCAGAGCTGTGCAGGGTAGCAGGGCAGAGGACTGCCTGCCTTTAAGCCTGGCCTCCCATGAGCCTGAGGTCTCAGTTTCCCCATTTGTGGGTGAGGAAACACACTCATCCTGGTCCACCTGTGCATGCAGGCATCAGTGAGGGTCAAGTAAGGGAAGGGGCTATGGCAGAAATGCAAGGAGCTGCCTTCTACAGCCAGAAGGGCACCATCTGCTGACCTCAAGGGCCATTCTATGAAGATCACAGCTACCAGCCTCCCAGCCCCTCGCTCTGGAGGGGCAGCAGCAGGCCTGGGTCTCAGGGACCAGAGGAGGGGCACTCACCCTGGAAGAGGTTGTAGTCAGCCCACAGGCACAGCCGGCCATCCCGCACATAGAAGGCATCCACCACGATGGTCAGTAACTTCCGGTACTCGAGGCAGCCAGACAGAACCTCCAAGATGAAGGCCTGCCTCTGAGAGCTCAGAGTCTAGAAGAGAAACAGCAGGAAGAACAGAGCCAGGGCCAAGGGTGGGCTACAGACACCCTACATGACTGGGGAGAAGCCGGTTAGTCCAACCCAGAGCAGGGGCAGTGACTATGGCCATCTGGAACACAGGATCCCCAGGGAGCGGTCCCATAGGCTCTCCTGGGCTAGTGACAGTGAGGTGAGAAAAACAAGGGAGATAGTTGAGGAGACAAAAAAACCCATGAAGGACACAGACAACAAAGATGTTCTAGCTTCTATGAGAACAGATGAATCCACAGGGACAGAAGTAGAATGGTGGGGGAGGGGCTCAGTGTTTAATGGGGCCAGTTTTAATGGGGCATTCATTTTAGGAAGATGAGAGTGTTCTAGATGAGAATGGTGATGACAGTTGCACAACACTGTGGATTTTTTTTTTTTTTTTTTGGCATAATGGGGTTGGAACTCAGGGCCTCACACTTGTTAGGCAGGCACTTTACCACTTGAGCCACTGCACCAGCCCTATTTCGTGTTGAGGATTTTCTTTCTTTCTTCTTCTTCTTTTTTTTTTTTTTGTGCAGTACTGGGGCTTGAACTCAGGACCTACACCTTGAGTCACTCCACCAGCCCTCTTTTTGTGTGATGGGTATTTTTGAGATAGGGTCTGCTGAACTGTTTGCCCTGGCTGGCTTTGAACCACGATCCTCCTGATCTCTGTCTGGAGTAGCTGGGATTGCAGGCATGAGCCACTGGAGCCCGGTTTATGGATCTTCTTAAGACAACTAAAGTGGACACTTAAAAATGGTTAAAATGGTAAAATTATGTCATGCATATTTTTACCACAATGATTGATTTAAAAATTGAGTGCATATGAATGTTTTCAAGTGGATGAATGAAAAATTTAGCTAAAAGAATCACACATAAGCAAGGAAGTTCTCTGCACGAGCGTGTCCAGTGTAAGAAGCAAGTGGGTCGTTACGGCAAAATGGTGAAAATTCCATCCTCTCTGGGAGGACTGACTTTTCCCACTTACCTTTTAGAACATTTTGGGGTTTGTGACCTTTGTTTGCCAGCCGTTTTGTCACTGTGACAAATATCTGAGAAACGGGTTAGAGGAGGAAAGATTTATTTGGCTCAGTGTCAGAGAGTTCAGTTTCTGGCTGGCTGGCTCCATTGCTTTTAAGCCCATGGCAAAGCAGAAAAACATGGCAGAAGAAAACTACTCAACTCACAGTGGCCAGGAAGCAGACAGAGAGGAGGAGCACAAGATGAACACCTCAAAGTCGGGCCCTCAGTGACTCCGAGTTCTCACCACCCCCCAATAATCCCCTCGGGTTATGAATCCATCGATTAGGTCAGAGCCCTCCTGATCCAGTCACTTCCCAACACTGTCCTGGGGACCGAACCTTCATCACCTGAGCCTTTGGGGGACATTTCAGATCCAAGCCACAACATGTGTGTGACACGTGTTAATCATTTTCAAAAGCAATAAGGTTTTCACACTAAGTTTGAAGGAGGAAGAAGATGAGGATGCACGCTGAGGCCAGCCCTGTGAGGAGAAGGGCGGTGGGACTGGGCACCGCTGAGCCTCTCCTGAAAGCAGTTTGGAAATAGGTTTCTAGAGCTTTGCTTTCCAGGCCTTTGAATGCAGAAGTTACACTTCTGGGAACTTAAGGACACCTCCCATAATGTAGAAAATATCCATGCGCCAGTCTTCAGAGCAGCGCTCTGCGTGGCCAAGAACCAGGCACAGCCCGAGTGCCCAGCAATGGGGGACTTGAGGGTCACACAGTCTCTTCGTGCCGTGGCTGAGTATGAAGCAGCCATCAACGTGATACTGCACGGAAGCTTTTCAAGGAAGAGAGAATACTGACTGACAAGACGCCATGTGAGCACAAAGACTGGGACCCTGTGGCTGGAATGTGCCTGTGGGCAGGGGTGGCTTTGCCTCTCTGTTCTGTCTGCTCCTCTGCGCCCAGGCTTCCTGCGACACTTCTGTAGCAGCTTCAAAATCAGTATCAGGTTCCCCAGCTTCCCCTTTAGCAGACCCTGCCATGTCAAACCGCCTTCTGGAAAGGCTGCAGCAGCGAGCTCAGGGCAGCTGAGCTCTCACGGCTTTCAGTTGAGAAAGCTGCTCTTTCACCATTTTTGTGAAAATGGGCCGTGAAGCCAGGCCTCGAGCAGGCTAGGCAAGTGCTCTGCCACTGAGCACACCGCACCGCCAATCCAATAAAGAACCATCGGATTCTCGTTTTTTACTTTGAGGGTTTTTTTAATCAATAGTGAAATTCTTGTGTGTTTACTGGACGCCTGTCACCTGTATTTCTCTTCTGGGTTTTATTTATTTATCTGTTTGTTTTGGACCTCCACCACTTGAGCTACCCCACCAGCCCTTTCCTTCTGCAAGTTTCCAGTTTACATTCTTGGTTAATTTTTTATTGGGATAAAATTTTTCTTAATCATCTTTATGAGTCCTTTCTATATCAAGGCTACCAGCACTGTCACTAATATGAGAATTTTTGAGAGTTTGTAATTTGTTTTTAAATTTTGTGCAAAACATTTGGGGCACACAGCATGTAGATGTTAACTTTTTTTTCCTTTGAGGTCATATCTCTTTTCCTTTGTGATTTCTTCAATTGTTTTCATGCTAAGAAAATGGCAGGGTATTGGAGAGGCCCTGGACACGCCAGGACTCTTGGGCCTCAGTTTCCCCACTCTGTCGTTGTCTGAATGACACTGCAGAGGCTGTGATGAAGATCTTGCAGGGTGAGGGAGTCAAGGGGGGGGGTTGCCTCCCTTCCTCACTTCACCAGAGGTGGCAGTGCCCGCAGCCCCCCAGGAGAGCAGCTGCCAGCTCCCTGCCTCCCCGATGCGGCCCACTGTGCCGGCTGTGGCCCGGCTCTCTCGTAGAAAGCCAGGCTGCTCTGCACTGATGCCTCCACCTGTCCCCCATGGGCCTCTGAAGGCCTGCACCCTTCCCTTCATTATCCACACTCATACAGGGGGATCTGGCCCAGCCGCAGGCTGACCATATGCTGATCCCCAGATGTGCATCTGGCCAGTGGCTGTGCCATCCTCCACCCACGGCCTGCTTGGCCTGTCCACCTGAAGGTCTGGCAGATGCTCACACTAAGTCCTCCTGGGCTTGACCAGTTGTAGACACGACCCCTTGCTCCCCAGGCTCACGTCCAGTCGGTGTGGGGACCCGGCTGCCCTCTGTCTGTCTTCAGTCAGGCACCATTGCTTTTATGGCACAGGTCAGAGCACGCGTGCCATCTCTAGAACCTTTCCGAGTAAGAGGTCTCGCATGGCCAGTGCAGCCCCGAGCGGGCTGGCCCAGCTCCCTCCGAATCCCCACCCACGCTGGCTCTGTTCCAGCCACATCTGCTGCCTTCTGTTTCCTCAACATGCCAGGTGTCCCCCTTGGGGTGTCCACATTGGCAGGTCCTCTCCCTGTAATGGTCTTCCTGGCACAATTGCTCCCCTCTGTCCCCGAGAGGTGTCCCTGACCAATCCTGCTGTCAGACGTGGCCTGTCCCAGCAGCAGCACCACACTGGTCACTTGTTGTCACTTTTCCTGCTAGAGAGTCACTAGTTCCCACAAGAATGGAGGTGGGTGTCGGGATTCAGTGCCATCTTGGCAGTGTGGGCTGGGTACGCGAAGGGGGCTTGCTGGGGGAGGACTCCCTCCCAAGCCTTGGCCTGTGTCCAGCTCAGCTTCCCTCTGGGCTCAGCCGTAACCCTGGCCTTGGCAGTTACACTTGCTTCCCACCCCAGTGCCCAGCACTGTAAAGGAACGTGCCCCGACACGATGAAGACACTGACTGCTAGCAGCGTCTCGTGTTTACAGACCCTGAACAGCTGGTGCCCTGGTAACATCAGAACCCGAAGTGCCCTCCTTCTAGTCCTGTGTACCAACTAACACAAGCATGAGGACTGCCGTGAGGTTTAACTCCAGAAAAGTAAGTTTCCCAGAGAATGGTCAAGTTGATTGCGATTTGCCAGCCAGCGACTAATAAAGGAGACACACGCTGATGTGAAGACCCCACTCAGAGACCCTGCTCAGCAGGCAGCCTTCCTGCTTGCTGTCCCGCTGCACCTTTCCATGTTCCTGAGCCCCTCAAAGTAGTGCTCTGCGGACAGTAAGGAACCCCTCTGTCTTCTCAGGGCCAGTCCTGAATAAACCTGATGTCTTCCCAATACTTCTGAGTACTGGCTTTTGTGTGGTGAGCAGACAGGCTTGGCTCTGGTAACACTCTGACTGCCAGCCTGCACCCACCTGGTGGCACTGGCCCAGCCAGGTCCCAGCCCTGCCACTGACTTGCTATGTTTGTCAAAGGAAACCCAAGGCCGCAGGCAAATGAGTCGGGGGCAGCGGGTCAGCTTGGGGTGGGCTGAGGGCTGGGCGAGAGGTGCTGACCTCCCTTGGGCCTTCAGGCTCAGGTAACAGTGACCCCATCGTTTATTAATTACATCTGTTTGAGATGTGCGAGCATGTCTTTTTATTTATTTATTTATTTTATGCAGTACTGGGGCTTCAACTCAGGGCCTCCACCTTGAGCCACTCCACCAGCCCTTTTTTTTGAAGGTTTTTTTTGAGATAGGGTCTCGTGAACTATTTGCCCAGCTGGCTTTGAACCGCGATCCTCCCGATCTCTGCCTCCTGAGTAGCTGGGCTTACAGGCGTGAGCCCTCGGCACCTGGCTTGAGTAGTCTTTTTAATAAGGTCAGTCCCTTGAACCTGCAGCTGAGGGTCCCAATGCCATCGGGCCCTCGGCGAGGCAGGTCCAGCAGGTCCACAGTGGGCTGGAGTATCCTAAAGACGCAGACACAAGGCCCAGTGGGAGGTCACAGGTGCTGGTGAATGATTCCTGCATCCATGTACCAGGTTGGGTGGCCTGGGGAAGGACAGCCCACTAATGCTGGGCTGGCAGCCACAAGGACCTGTGGTATTCACAAGAGGGGAGACTAAGCGGGGTTGGGGTACCGAGCACTGAACCCTTTGTCCTGACTGGGCAGCAGAGCGTATGGGTCTCTCTCCACCCTGAGGCAGGGTGACACCCCTACTGCACTAAAAAAGCCTTAATTCTGGGCTGGCCAGAATTAGTGAAACCAGAGGGCTGTGACCACCAAGAATCTTCGAGTTTGAGATAAAATCTTGGACCTTGGTCAAATTCACAGCTCCCGAGTCCTCACCTGTGGCCCTGGCCAGGCCCAAGGGAGAGCAGCAGTTGCAGACAGCAGTCTCATGGGTGGTGAGCTGCAGGCCCACAGGCCTCTGGTTTCACAGTCTTAGCACCTCCTGCTCCGGAGGCGCTTGCTGGACCCAAAACTGAGCTTGTCTGTGGGAAACCCAAGGCTAGGATGGAGCAGGGTGACCCTGGGGTGACCCAGGATCAAGGGCGGGGAGGGGCTGGGGGTTGGTTAACCACAGCCCAGGATCTGTCACTCACATCACAAACACCTGTAATCAGTGGTGCAGACCAAGGTCAGGTGGAAGCTGGGCAGAGGGAACCAAGGCTGCAGGATGTCTACACAACATCCACCGCTCTTCCCCCACCAGCAGAAAGCATGCTGTCCTGTTGGGAACCATGAAGAGCCCCCCTCAATCCACATGTCCCAGCTCCCCTTGCTGGTGGAGCCAGGTGACAATTTGAATTCATGGGAGGTGATGGCAAATTGCTAGGTGTTGCCCCCAAGAAAGGCAGGCTCAGGAGGCACATGCATTGAACTGTTTGTCTTATTCTCTCTTCATCCAGCATGTGGATATCATGCTGGAGGTAGGGCAGCCATTTTGTGGTTATGAGGCAAAGGTACAGTCTAAGGAGGCTGAGTGGAGAGGAAGAGGAAAGAGTTCTTAATGGCACCATTGAGCTTCTGAAGCCACCCTTGCCGTCAGCCTTGTCTGCAGACTGCTTCTTATGTGAACAAAGATAACACTAATTTCTTTAAGCCACTGCTTCTCTGGATTTTGTTATAGCTAAACAGCTTCCTATTAGATACAGTTCAAGACGGCCCCAAAAAGAAGTATATAGTGCTTTAAAGCTCATGAAAATATAACAAGAGAAATGCTAACTGTAACTACACCAAGCCCCTATCCCACTTGAGTGGCAAGGACAAAATGTTCGCCAGCACACTAGGTTGGTCAGTGTCAGGGAATGGGGCTCCCTGCCCACTGAGCAGAGCAGCACACAGACTCTGTGGAGCCAAAATTCTCACAGAAAAAAACCAGTGCTTTCTGTAACTTCACCTCACCTGAGGTGCACCTGCCTGGGGGCAGAGGGACAGGAGCCACTCAATCTCACTGTGGTCTGTAGAGTAAAAGACTAGAAACAGAGTCTGGGCATGATGGCACCTGCCCGTAACCCCAGCACTGCAGAGCCTGAGGCAGGAGGATCATGAATTCGAGGATAGTCTGAGCTACACAGTAAGACCTTGTCAAAAAAATACATAATGGACCAGAAACAACCCAGCAGCCCACGAGCAGGGGTGAGTATGGCAACCGTGACACAGTCAAGCAACAGGATGGTCTACAGCCCTAAGACGAGGAGGTGGAACCACCTGGTACCTCCTTAAATTGACTCAGACGATTCCCATGAGGCCTTGGAAAAAGCCACCAGAACTCCTATCTTGTGTAAGATTTTTCGTCCAGATGTGTGTTCCTGTAGCAGAATGCCTGAGACTGGGCAGTTGAAAAGAACAGAGGTTTATTTACCTCACAGTTCTTGAAGCTCAGCCTCTGGTAAGGGTCTCAGGTGGGGCCCGCGTGGCGGAGACGTGGACGGGCCAGCAGGTGAGTGCCAGGTGGAACACGGGCGGGCGCGCTTTATGGCAGCCTCCTCCACCACGAACGGTGCCCAGAGAAGGAGAACTTGCTGCCAGGAGATGCCACCTATCTATTCGTGAGGCTCCAGCCCTGCAGCCCAAAGGACTCCCGTGAAGTCCCCTCCCAACACTGCCACACCGAGGAATTAATATGCCTCAACGTGAGTTTTGGGGTTCTGAGAGCCCCAGTTCCCCCTTGGTGCCTCTGTCCTTGGCCTGCACTGGGAGGCTCCTTCTGGGTGCCCTGCGTCTCTCCTGGCCGGGTGGTTGCCATGCTCCCCGCACGTCTTGGCCTGGGCTGCCTGGCTCCATCTTGCCTCCCTGGGTTCTTCCTGTCTCTGGGTCACCACGAGGCTCTCTCCTCTCCCTGTCCCTTTGTTCAAATTGCCCTCTTCTTGTAAGGATGTCATAATCGAATCAGGGCCCATCCTATGTCCAGATCTGCAGCTGAATTTTATCTTCACAGACTGTGTCCACACAGGTCACGTTCACAGCAGGCAGGGGTCAGGGCTGCACCATGTTTTGGGGCACATCACCTACCCCACCACCTGCCCCTCCCTGCACCCTGCTGTCCAGACTTCACTCAGCAGCTGATCTATGTAATTTTCTGGCAGATGGACTCTTGAGCCTTGACCTAACAAAGTTGGCATATTGCAGCAATTTCCTAACAGCCAGAGATAAAGGGAGTCCTCAGAACTGGGTCAGTACCCAGTGCCTGTTCTGGATTGGCTTCAGAGAGGCTTTTCAAAGGCTCTGGAAGGACCAGCACCTCTCAGCAGGAGCTGCCTTTCCACCTGATCTCCTTGGTGCTGGGCTGGCTCCCCTGTGTGTGTCAGCTCTGAACTCTGCTGCCAGTGTGCCTGGTGGCACTGGGATACACAGGAACGACCACCATGTCATGACCGTCAATAATCTGTTGGGTTTTTGTTGTTGTTGTTTTAAGAAAGCAAACTGTTGTAGTAAACCCACTTTTCTGTAATAGTTGTCATCAAGAATGACAACAGGCTGGGCACCGTGGCTCATCCCTGTAATCGCAGCTATGCAGGAGAGTTCAGGAGGATTGAGGTTCAAAGCCAGCCCCAGGCAAACAGTTCACGAAAGACCCTACCTCAAAAAACTCATCACAAAAAAGGGCTGGTGGAGTGGCTCAGTGATAAGAGCACCTGCCTAGCAAGTGTGAGGCCCTGAGTTTAACTCAAGTACCCCCCCACACACACAAGAATGATGACAGTCACCTCACCCTTCCCTACTTGGGGAAAGCCCCTCTTTCCACCAAGGTCCTACGTGGGCCCAGCAGTCAGGGGTGTGTCTGGGGGAGCACCCCAGGTTGGGGGACACAAGTGCAGGGGCCTAGGGCAGTGTGCAGAGTGCTCCAGAAGTACCAGGAGGCCAGTGTGGTCAAAGCACGATGGTGGGTGGGGACACCTGACTTGAAGGGTGCAGCTTCCATGCTGGCCAAAGCAGGAACAGGGGAGGTGTCACATTCTAGCACATTCTCTCTGGCCCGGGGGTGGGGCGCCAGAGGGGCAGTTTTTGCAGTGAACCTGGCAGGGCCTGCACCCAGGTGGTGAGGGGAGAGGGCAGGCAGAATGGACACAGAGCTGGGCAGGTGTGGGCCTCACCTGAGCAAGGGAAACAGGGCTCTCCACGGCTGACCTGGGGCTGCAGAGATGAGCAGCCTGTGGGGCTCTGGGAATCACTTCTGTAGGGTCACACGGGAGGTGTTACTCGAGTGAGGGTGTTTGCCTTTGTTTTGCTTTTTTGAACAACTTTATTAGTACATAATAGTTGTGGGGGGTTCTGTACCCCTTGTGGCTGTTTGCCTTTGGGTGTGGGAGTCTGGGGCTCAGGAGAGGTCAGTGCTGCAGGCCCTGCGTTCAGATTTTCGGGGGGTCTCTGTGTGGCGCAGGGGTGCTGGGGCAGCAGGAACCATTCAGACTAAGGAGACACTGTCACGTTTCTTTCCCAGGCCCAGGACTTCACCCCATGGTCCAGTCTCTGGACTCAAAATGCGACAGGAGCAGGGGCCCCGGGAACACATGTCAGAGCTGGGGAGCAGGGTGGCCAGTCTCAAGGCGCGGCCCGTTACGGCCATGGTCACCCTTGCTACTACTGCGTGCAGAGCCACTGCCCCTTCAAAGTGGGGGTGCGGGCTGGAGGGGCGCAGGGGTGTCTCCTCTTGTCTGTTATCTGAGGACAGAGCCTCCACGGGGCGTGGGAGCCCCTGAGCTCAGGCCATCTTTCCCGAGAGCCTGGTCTGCTGCACATCCTGGCTGCCCAAGCACCTCCCGCCATGGCGGGGTCTTGCTGGACAGTCTTGCCTTGGGCTGCTCCCCGTGGGAAGCAATGAATTTGACGTTTTTTCCGGGGAAGCAAATGTTATGTGATACGTGCCATCCATTCAGCCTCCCAGGAGCCCATGTGGTCACCATGGCCCTACCTTCAGTGATGTGGATACCGCCTCCAGGAAGTGCTCGGGACTGTCCTTCTCTGGCTTAAACTTCTCCAGGTGCTCCATCACTATTTCAATGCATTTTCCATAGTAGGCCATCTTCCTGGGCAGGACCCTAGACCCTGAAAACAAACCGTTAGAGGTCACCTTCTCCATGACCTCCGGGTTGCCAGCAAGGCTGGTAGCAGAAGCAGCTGCAGGACCCTCACCAGCACCAGCAGCAAGTCTGCCAAGGTGCAGGGTCCTTGAGCAGTGAGGACTGTTGGAGGCAGGTGGCGCCAGGGCTCAGGAAGTCTGAGACCCCTTCCTGGACAGTCCCCCTCAGGCCTCAGGTCACCATTCACTCACAGCCCTGCACCCTGAGGCTGCCAGGCTGCTCCCCACAGAAATGCTGCTGATGGGCCAGTCCCTAGGAGGGGCCAGAGAGGGGGACCTCTGAGCGTCCCTCAGCCCAGCGAGAAGGGGAGCCTTTCCTAGAGTAGGTGAGGGTGGCAGGAAGGAGCCTGGGTTCTTCACCTCCATTTAGAGACAAGGGAACCCAGACCAAGAGGACTGATGGTAGTTAGGTGGTCAGGCCTCATCAGGGACTGAACATTCTAGAAACATGCCAGAGGAGATAGGCTTGCCTGGACCCCTTCTAGGGAGGACTTGGAGAGACTGTGTGAAGTGAGGCGGGGGCCCAGGAACAGGGTCTGCTGACACAGGCGGTCTCTGCCTCCCTCGGAGGAGCTACCTGGTGAACAAGGCCTCACCCACCCGTGCAGCGTGCAGGTGTGGCCTCCAGACATGGCTCAAGCCCAGCCCAGTAGCGGCCTGGGCCTGCTTTGGACTTAGCAGTCACTCTGGGCCAGGCGGGGTGTGCAGGGTCCCCACTCGCTGGCAAAGGTGGCTGCTGCTGTTCTGGGGACAGTAGGGCCACTTTCCCTCCACTGGGTGGCCAGTGGGCACTGTCCCAGACCTAGGCCCTCCAGGCAGGAAATGCCATAGCAGAGTGTCCCCAGTGAGGTAGCCACTCCAGGCCAATCCTACCAGGATTAAAAATTAGGGAGCTAGTCTAAAAGGTCAAAATTCCAAAGAAGCGACAGACACACAGACAGTCAGAGAGCGGAGAGAAACGAAACACACAAATGCCCACCATTACAGGGCACTGTGCTCTAGGACAGGCAGAGCCTCCCGCACGATGAGGAGGGTCTCCACTTTCAGGTGGAGACATCAGTGCTTTGGCACTGCCAGTCCTCAGGGGACCCACCTCCAGTCCAGGAAGGCCTGCATATGCTGGGCAGCAAGTCCAGAGACGGAAACTGAAGCCAAATCCAAGGAAGTGTGGTCATGGCGGAGATGCAGGGGCCCCAGGGAGACATCAGGGACCAGCAGGACCAGGAGGGTGGGACTTCTAAGCCCTCACCAAGGGCTTTGCCCACTGGATAGGGAAAGAGGCCGGGACAACACTTGTGCCACCAACTGGACTGGCCAGTGTCCCCTCCCTTGCTGGCTGCACTTTAGGCCCTGTACCACAGACCAAGGCTGAAGTCTGTCCTGGGCCCTTAGGGCTCCACAGACGTGGAGCCAGAGGGGGCTGGAGGTGTGCCTCAAATGGTAAAGTACCAGCCTAGCAAGTGCAAGGCCCTGAGTTCAAACCCCAATGCCATCAAAACAACAACAAAAAAGAGCCAGAAGAAAGGCCTCTTGGAATCTGGAAACCCACAGAAGTTGGCTTGAAGTCTTGGTACCAAGAACAGGCTCTGGAAAACCGCCTCCTTGGGTGCTGAGGGAGCTGCCTGGCTCATGAGGACAGGCACCAGGACACCATCCTCCATGTCTGGAGACCAGTGGGGTGGCCTTAATGTGAATTCCTTGTGGCTGGGGGGCCTGATGAGGAGGAGCAGGGCAGGACATGACTGTCTGTTTGGATGATACCACCTTAAATCCATCAAACACACAGATCCACAGACGCTGAGACACAGCCCCGGAGCCAGGTGCAGCCTTGGGCAAGACAAGCCATGTGTGAGGCTGACCTCCCCTTGGCTGGCTGTCTCTGCCCTCTGCAGCTTGCCTCCCTGGGGACCATCCACTGAAGCAGCCCCTCCTCCCCCAGGACACCTCTGCTGTTGGACATCTGGGTGGTGGAAGGTAGGGTTGTGACTTGTGTGCCTAGAAATGGGGGGGTGGGGGGCAGGCAGGAGGTTTGCTGGTCCTCCATGGTGGGTGAATCAGCGGACAAGTGTCAGGGGCTGGGACCCTGAGCCCTTCCCTGAGACCTCTGCAACCCCCTCAAGCTCAGTTCCCACTCTAGTCCCATCCCTTACCTGTTGGCCCCATCCCATTTTGTTGGTCCTACCCCCTGTCCTGTTGCTACAACCCCGTCCCTTGGCCCTGCCCCTTCTCCTGTTGATTCCTCCCCCCATGCCCTGGTGTCCCTGGCCAGGCAGGGCCTGCCCCACAGGAGCTGGCATGGCTCTGGGGGCCTTTGTTCCATTCAGCTCTCCTAAGAGGAAAACAATCCCAGACACTCCAGGAATCTCTGCCAAAGGCAGCCAAGTGGGTGTGGGGGATTCTTTCTTCTGGGCTTTGGGGAGCAGACTTTTCCCTGTCTCCCCCTCCTGGTTATTCCTGCCTTGGGGACAGATAGTGACATTGTCAGGAGGCCCTGGAGGGAACTCCAGGTTGGGAGAAATAGGATCTGAAAAGACCCCATTTCCACTATTTGCAGTTTATACCCCAGAGAAATCTCGTTTTTCTCATCTTGGTGCAAACAGTGGACACAAGTCAACAGCAGGCCCTGGGCCTCCCGCCCCCTCCCTCCTTCAGCCCAGAGGCCTTGCTGGATGGGGATGGGAGCAGGGTGCTTGAGGGGCCCCCAGCATGGGGATCCTCTTCCCCAGCCTCATATCTGAGATGGCACAGGACATGTCCAGACCAGGACCCCTGGTCTGGCCTTCAGTCCACTCAGCAGGTCTCCCAGACCCGGCCCCTCCTACGGCCAACAGGAGGCAGGTGGAACAGCTTGAGCTGCAGTGGGTGAGACAGGTGAGGTCTGGGTGTGTGTGGCTTCAGGGGTCCACTTTGTCTATCACCAACCAATCCCACCAGGTCTTCAACTTCTGTGGGGTCTCTGTAGCATGTCCCAACTCAAGATCACAGCTGGGGACCATCCACTCGGGCCTCTCAATGGCTTAGAAGCCCTCCATGGAAGGCTCCTGAACCTCAAATAATCCTGCCCGTTTTCCTTCCCTGATGAACTCCTAGGCATCCCTCAACACCCCAATAAGATGTTGCCACCTGTGGGGTCTTCCTTCCTGGCTTCGTTGCATTCTGTGTGCCCCTTCTGGTATCATCTAAGTGTCCATGAGTGTGAGTGCTGTGGGCAGGGCCCTGGTTCCCACCCTGAGTCCCGGCCCTTGCCCCAGAGCTGGTACCTTATCAGTACTTCGGGTAAAAATGTAAAAAGGCCCAGGTTCCCTAAGCTGGGTTCTTAGTTGACAGCTGGAGGTAAGACCTACTCAAAGGCTTTTTGAGGCTTTTGATTTTTTTTTTTTTTTTGGCAGTACTGGGGTTTGAACCCAGAGCCTTGGTATGGGCAAAGTGCTCTACCATTTGAGCCACGCCCCAGCCCATTTAGTTTTAGTTTGTTTTTGAAATAGGGTTTGCACTTTTGCTTGGGCCAGCCTCAGACCTTGATCCTCCTACCTCTGCATCCTGAGTAGATGGAATTCTGTACACCTGGATTGACTTTTTTTTTTAACAATCATTAAAAATTTTTTTTAAAACCATTACTTGCATGGATCCTACAGTGCAATAGAGTTTAATTTACCATTGCATTTAATTGGGGGATAGTATTTTCTAAGAAAATAACAGAAAACTCAAGTTGTGGGCCCTTATGGTGGGGTCTGGCCCCTATCCCCAGAGAAGTTTCCTCCCTGTGTGAGCCCTGAGCCCAGGCTAGTCTCTAAGGCCCTTGCAGGATCCCTCAGGATAAGACACCCTTGTCAACACGATAAAGGTCAATAATATCCCCGGGGTCCGGGACTTACAAGGAAAGAATTAACTTAGGCAGAGTCCATTGTAGACACAATGTTAGAGTGAGTTTTCCTGCCCCCCATTATGTGGAGGAAGCTGCACAGCGATGGGGCTCCCTTCCTCCCCTGGCATTCCTTAGTCTGCTGGGACACAGCTCAGCCTGGTGCCCACCAAAAGATGTTCTCCTTCCTGCAGGCGGGGAGGTGGCCTTCACGTGTGCCATGGGGGCTGCTCCCAGGTAAGAGGGTTTCGGGTCCTCCCCTCCTGTCCCGGAGGCTGCAAGGCTCTGAGGAAGGGGTGATCCAAGGTGCCCTTTGCTGATGCTAGCTGAGGAGGAGCTAAGGAATCACGCCAAGCTCTCCCTAGGCCTTTCCAAACTTTTTTTGCCCAGGTTGGCCTGGAACTGCGATTCTTCTGATCTCAGCCTTCCAAGTCCTCCCAAGTAGCTAGGATTACAGGCATGAGCCACTGGCACCTGGCTTATTTATCTATAAACTTAATGAAATATTTTTTGCTTTTTAACATATATTCATTACACAAAACTGTACAAAACAGTGGTCAATATAATGCATAGACCTGCACATATGCATATAGTGTGCTTTGATCACATGCAATCCCATTACCCTCTCTTTTTTCTTTTTTTACTGGAACTGGGGTTTGAACTCAGGGCTCTGCATCTGCAAAGCAGGCGCTCTACCACTTGAGCCACGCCTCCAGTCTGTCATTTCCCTCCTTCTTCCTCCCACTTCCTATCCCCTTCTACTTTTGTGTCTCTTTTTGATCTTCTAGATTCCACATAGGAGAGAAAACATGCCACAGATACTTGCCTTTCTTTTTTTGGGGGGGTGAGTTTGAACGCAGGGCTTCACACTTGCAAAGCAGGCGCTCTACCATTTGAGCCACGCCTCCAGTCCATTTTGCTCTGTTTATTTTGGAGATGGGGTCTCTCAGGTTGGCCTTGCCCAGTGATCTTCCTGATTTCAGCCTCTCAATTAGGATTACAGGTGTGAGCCACCAGTGCCCAGCTAAGTAAGGTGTACTTTTTTTTTTAGTGGTACTAGGGTTTGAGCTCAGGGCCTTGG